TGTTTTGAGATTTAAGATAAGATAAGTCGGCTAACCATTAAGCTGGTTAACAATTTAGGTATTATTACAACATAAGTTTGCTAACAGTTGATCGGGAAAGTTTTCCCTCACATATGTAGTTCTTTTAAGTGTAAGATAAGCTGGCTAACAATTGTGTGAAAGAATTTTCTTTCACATATGTAGTGCTTTTAGGTATTATAAGAAGAAGATAAACCGGCTAACAATTGAGCGAGATAAATTTTTCTGTCATATGTAGTGGTTTTAGGCACAAGAAGATAAGATTGCTAATAATTAAGCGGGAGAAATTTTTCTATCATATGTAGCCATTTTAGGTATTACAAAATAAGCTTGCAAACAATTGAGCAGGGAATTGAGTGAGATTATTTTCTCTCTCACATGTAGTGCTTTTAGGTATTACGGAGCAGAAGACAAGTATCCTAACACTTGAGCGGGATAATTTTCTCTCTTATATATAATGCTTTTAGGTATAAGATAAGTCGGCTAACAATTGTAGGGAAGAATTTCCTCTCTCAAATGTAATGGTTTTAGGTATAAGAGGATCAACTTGGTAATAATTTAGCAGGAGAAATTTCTCTATCATACGTAGTCTTTTAGGTATTGGAAGACAAATTAGCTACTGATTGAGCAGGGGAATTGAGAGGGATAATAATTTTTCTCTCATATGTAGTATTTTTAGGCATTAGAAGATAAACTTGCTAACAATTGAGAGGGTTAATTTTTTCTCATGTGTAGTTCTTTTAAGTACAAATTAAGTCGGCTAACAATTGAGCGGGATACTTTTCCCCCTCATATGTAGTGCTTTTAGGTATAATAAGGAGATAAGAATATAAGCTTTCTAACAATTGAGCGGAAGAACTTTGTCTCTCATATGTAGTTCTTTTTAAGCATAAGATAGGATAATACAGCTAACAATTTAGCAAGAAAATTTAGCTCTCACGTGTAGTGCTTTTAGATATAAGAAGATAATATAAGATAATATGGCTAACAATTTAGCAAGAAAATTTATCTCTCACATGTAGTGCTTTTAGGTATAAGAAGATAAGTTGGCTAATAATTGAGCTGAAATATTTTCTTTCTCATACATATTGTTTTAGTATAAGAAGACATGTAGTGCTTTTAGCAATAAGATAAGTTAACTAACAATTGAGTGGAATATTTCTCTCTCTCATATGTAGTGTTTTTAGGTATAAAAAAGATAAACATGCAAATAATTGAGTGACAGAATTTTCTCTCATATGTAGTGCTTTTAGTTATTTTATATCTAAAAGAACTACATACGAGAGAAAATTCCAACTCTCAATTGTTAGCCGGATTGTCTTATATCTAAAATCACTATTCAATACACATAAGAGGGACAATTCTATCGCTTAATTGTTAGCCAGATTTTCTCTCATATGTTAGCACTAATTTAACTCATGATTATCAAGTTCTTATTTAACTAATATTTGATAGTTTTAATATTTATTGTATTGACTTGAATTTTATGTCATTCACTTATTGTACTCACTTTTTTTTAATAGTACTTCCTCCGTCCCGTTTTATCTGTCCTACTTTCCTTTTTGGGTTGTCCCAAAATAAGTGTCTCCTTTCCTTTTTTGGAAAGAAATATGTGGTCTATACCATTTCACTTTATTATACTCAAACATCAACCACAACTTTTACTTTTTCAACCACTTCATTAATAATCATGTCAAGTCAAACTAAGACACATAAAATGGAACGGAGGTAGTATTTAATTTTTTAAATTAATTTAATTTTGAAAATTTATAGGTAGCAAATTCTAATGAGTGATGTCAATTAATATATTCTTCATTCAATATTTTTTGTATGGATTATACTTTATGATAATAACTTATTGTACTTTTATTTTTCAAAAATAACTTTTAAATAATAAAAGTTAATTTTATTTTAATATGTAATTAGATGATGAATAAACACATATGCACCAACTGTTATTTCCCGTGCGTATGCACGGGTACTATACTAGTTATATGATTACAATTTTAACAATGTAAATAATCCAACACATTATATGACTAGATTTTCAAAAGTAGGCAACAGATATAACAAAATTAAGAGTAAAACGTATAGCAAAGTAGATTCAGAAATAAACCGACCAAGATTATTTCCATGGGTTGTGATTTTTGGATGTGTGGCTAAGAGAGTGTCGAACGGAAAGACAGCTTCAATTTCAAGTTGACATTGCTAGGCTGCTGGCTTCGTCAAGACGCACGAGTCTTTTTTTTTTTTTTTTTTTTTTTGGGTTGATGCTCCGCCGTCGCAGCCAAAGCTCATGAGTCAATTTGTGGGGAAGAAATTGGGGCGGTGCAGGCCCTCCGAGTAGAGACCTCCTGCCACCGACTCTAGCCGAACAAAAATCCGGTGAAAACTGGTTTGGTACAAGTGCGCGATTAGGAAAGGAAGGGAAGATAGCAGATTACCAGAGTAAGCAGACTTGAGATGGTAAACAGGAATAGAGGTGCTGAACGACAGACGACTAGGGCAGGAGTAGAAGTGGATTGATGGAACGTTTTAATCTAGGCCATCCATTTAAAACTTAAAAATCCTACGATGGAGATAGATAATAATTTGCATATTAGAGGTGTTTCCATGTCAACCATACCCTATATATATATATATATATATTAAGAATCATACACAAACTCTTCATAACTTACAAAGTGCAAATTAATCTTGTCCATCCATAACAATGAGATCATCGTGCAGTTGATGGGAAATTAAGACAACAAATTTCGGACAATTAAGGGCTTTCTGGTCATTTAGGGTTATTTTATTAATGGAAATAAATCATGACCAAAAGCTTCCATTCCCATAACCATTTTTAATGCATTTCCTTAATTCCATCTTTGTCGATCAATACACTACGTGATTTCCAGCCCAAAGCTTTCCTTCATAGTCGTCGTTATCATCTCTTCTAGTAATTCATTTTCTAGCCATGATTATTAGAGAACACCATGGAGTCAGGTACAAAGGTGAACTACGAGCTCAGGGAATCATCTGTCAAATGTGGCATCCCTACAAAAATACCTGATGAGGGAAACAACAATGAACATTGAGGAAGGTAAAGGTTTGAGCCGTAAATGAGTAGTGGTGAAGGATGCACTTTTAGATTTGGCCGGAGTGTGTGCAGGTTCGGGTATTGATATGCAATATAGTGGGTATGTGGATGCAGATGCATATGATAAAGTATTCAACTTCATATATGATTTGGATTAGATTTTTGAAAAATTTGAAAAATCAATAGCTAGCCTACGAGTTTTATTAAATTAGTACAATAAGATAGTTTTATGTGTTTTATGCATATGTTTATTAATCTATCAATGTACAGTGATATACTATATGTAAAGAATATGTAAAAGATGAAAGCATATGAGGATTGAGGCTAATAGTCAATACACATAAAGTGTTTGTTGGAATGCATAGGTGAAATACTATGACCTAGGTGAAGAAGGATTATGAGGATTATATTGAATGCAAATATTATGTGATGAGGAATACAATTTGCACCGGTGAAGAATATGAAATGCATTTATGGTGTAATTTTATGTTTTATTTGAATATGCAAAAGATTGGGGTTTGGATGCAAACCGGAAAAAAAAAAAGATGCACAATTACTTGTGAATACAATTTGAAAATAAGTATGAAGTTTGATTTCTTGTGATTAACATTTTATGAAATTTCGAAACATGTAATATGAAGATTAGATTGTGGTGGGGTTTTACTTAAATGTGTAAATGCATATAAATGAAAATAAATTGGATTAAATGCGAGTGAAGCTTAAAAATTGTGCTTTGAAATTTAATTGACAATACAGTAACATAACAAAAAGTTGGAGAGCAGAGGAAGAAAAAAGTTACATCAACTACTGGGGTGCAAAAGAGAGAATCACAAGGTGCAACAATTGAAGTCAAGAATGATAAAGGAAAAAGACAAGGAATAGATATGATATAGTATCGCTGAAAAATAGTGAAGAGGGAAGTGTTGAATCTAGAGGTAATTTAAAGAGAGATGGTCATAATGAAGAACAAAATGGTGGAGAAGATTAGATCGATGATGTTTTTGTATCCCTGCAGAGGGATTAGAAAAAGAAAGATGGGACAGTGCCACAGGAAGAAAAGAAGCATGACTAGAAAGATGCATTTAGGAGGATGCAGGACAAATGTGAAAGCATGTATACTAGTTCATCATCAATGTGGAATAGTTTGTGATTAAAATTCCAATTTCCTATGTAGTTTTTATTCGATTTTATTTAATTTCCTATGTAATGTGTATTTGATATGAAGAGTGCATGTGTACTTGTTCAGTGCATTAGATGGTGAAAATAGATTGAATTATATATGTTATTAGATAGATTGAGTTTTTAAAAACGTTAATGAGTCCGAGAATCGTCTGATTATGGAATCACATGAAAATAACCACAGTGAGTTTTTTTACAATGTTATTAATGCATGCATATAAATTATAACTGGAGTGAATAGGTGTGGTGGTATAATGTCCTGAATTGGTGAAGAATTGATAATTATGCAAAATGATTAAGGAGGGAGTGCAAATATTTCTGAACTAAGGTGCATATAAAATATAGTGATCTGATTAAGGTGCATATGTCTTGAAATGGTAAGGCGTGAAAATGAGTTTCATAAGCAATAAGATGTAAAAGAAAATGAAGATTTAAAAATGATTTTGAATTGCTATCGAAATTGGTCACCAACAAAATGAGATGCTCTATTATGCATTACATATCATACGACGATGCAAAATTGTGATATATAAGGTGCATATTGTATCAAAAAGTATGGGGCACAATGGTCTGTGTGATGAGCGTAAGGAAATACTATGCACATAAATGCATTGAAAAATGCATTTGAATGTGATGTAAACTGCTCAATGTGTAAAGTAAAATGGGTGACAGAAAAAGGGTCATCACTAAATGAGATGTGCACGTATAAGACAAAGTGGTAAAATGGAAAGAACAAAGCATTAAACTTGATTAATTGCACAAATTTGTTTACAATGTACACTGTACACATAATACATGGAAGAATATAACAGAACAACGGAAGTAAAGAACTAAGTTGATATTATAAATCTATTCGTTTAAGAGGCAATTCCTCCTATCATGAAGTGCCATCTCATTACACGATCTCCTGAGCCTTTTGGAACATATTGATTCTTCAATAGATACCTCAGAAAACTTGATCATCTGACCAAAATCAATCTGCTGCAAAGGATGCACAATCACTTCAAAATACATGCAATGGTAGTGAAACTCGTCAAATGCAAACAATTAATCCACACATATTTCCAAACTAAACATGTTTTACATCCTATCCTAGTGAAATGACATAAATTAACTAACAATAGAAAAAAGAAAAACATAAATAATAAATATATGGAATAAATGCATAGTACACTTATGAAACTACGCAGGCTATCACAAAAGAGTTCATGATTCAATTTACTGCATCATGCAATATCTTTATATGCACGTTAGATCAAAATGTATTGCAACCAAGTCACATTAATTTTCTTGTAGTAAACTTCCACAGAACAATATAAGCACATGCATCAACACATTTCATTTAGATCTTAGTCTACAACTTAACTCCCATATACAACATCCACACTGACCATTGAATTGCACCTTTACCTAGACTACTTTGCACATTAATTCAAACACATAAAACCCACACTCAACTGCACAAATATGATAATAGGAACACCAATTACGAACACAAAACCCACCTTCATAACCAAAATGCACTTCATTGATCCTTAAGATGCACACTTCATTCAAGTGGCAGTCCATATTAGCAAAGAACTTAATCATTACAAAAAACAACGCGAAAAAAACTTCAATCAATCTGACGTCCACCTCAAATGCATTCACACAACTCTCTTAGTGCATATCAAATAAAAAATCGTCTATGTAAACAGATTAATCTAAACAATACAAAAAAAATTAAAAAACCTCACCTTCTTCGCACGCCACAATAGTGTGTCGAAAAGCATGTTAAGGGACTGAAGCCATATGCGCTAATGGGATTTAAACCGTCCTTGATATCCATAAACGGCGTCCTTCGTCGACCGTCAAGATTTTGCCGCTCACAAGGAAACCTTCTTGCTTCTTCTACCTTGGTTGGTTGGTGCATTAACTATTGGACAGACCTCTGCAAATGTCCTTTTTTGATTTGCTATTCATGTGTGGTTGAAATCGTAGTGGGGAGTAGTGCAATTTCTGCGATTTCCTTCCTTATACGTATTTGGCGGTTCTCATTTAACATTTGTCAAATTACTTTTTCATCCTTACTAAACGGTTGTTGTTTTGTCCCATTACCCTCCTACGCAGCGCACGGCATGTTACGGTGTGTAACATGTTTTCAGCCCTTGATTTGTCTAAATTGGATGCACGTGATTGCTTTGCATTTTGTATGGGAAGCATTGTTTGTATGTGATCTCCTCCCTATATATATATATATATATATATATATATATATATATATATATATATATATAATGACTAAATCCTATTTGTCCTTATTAACATTCTAAGCACAATATTACAATATTTGATTTCCTTTTACCTTTACATGTATTCGGCGGGAAAATTTGAGCAAAAATGTAGCAATTTTGGTATTTTATATTATATTATTATATAAAGATATTGTTGCATAAAATAAATAAAAATAAAATAAATGTTTGATAGAAAATTTTTTGTACCAAATTAATACTTTTATTAGGAAAAATTGAAAATAATAATCCCAACTATTGCCGGTCCGCTAAAAATGATCTCAACTATTGATTATTTTTGTATAATCTCAACTATATAGACTATCCGCCAATAATGGTCCATGACTAGATATTACCTCTATAAAAATTGAATTTTAAATAGAAATTAAGCGTAAAAATTAAAAGTTGAGATTATTTATAGGGATTACTTGTTATATCTCATCTCATCCACTTTAGAAACTACAAGAATTTATTCATAGGGACCATTATTGGCGGAAGGTCCCTAAAGTTGGGATTATTCTGGAATAATCAATAGTTGGGATTATTATGAGTGGACCGCTAATAGTTGGGATTATTCCTATCAATTTTTCCCTTTTATTATTATTAGTATTGTTATTGTTATTATTATTACAATATTAATAAATGAGAGAAAAATTTATTACTAAATTAGATTTATTGCCTTGTATAGCTAAATTAAACTTTGACATGGAACATTGCAGTCAAAATTAGATCAAAATTACCATATCAATGATATCATATGGCGTGGAAAGCATTCCATTCATTATACATACGTAGTACGGAGTATAGTTTAGGCACACATAAGAGTATTTAATGCTCTATTAATTGATTGATTTTTCTTGCACAAAAAAAAAGAGTATTAATTGTACGGAGTATAGTTTAGGCGTGTGATTGATTTTTTTTCTTGCACAACTACATTGGCGGAGAGTATATATTTCAAGCACACATATTACATATTTAGTCATTTTTTGGGCGGGAATTTTCCCTCCAATAGTGGTAGCAACTCTGCTACTTTATATAATATAAATAAATATAAAGATTAGAAGTCTCACACATTATATATTACTCCCTCCGTCCCGCTAAGATTGTCCCAGATGTTATTCACTTGGTCAACACAAAGCACTCTTAAATTCTTACTTTATATATCAAATTTGATTCAGGTTTTTGCAACTTTGTAGAGCTTTTAATGTAGTTTCTGAACTAGACGAAGTACCCGTGTGATGCACGGGGTACATAATGTGCAATTTTTCAAAATAATAAAAAAATGATAGGATTTATATGCTTTAACTTTTAATAAAAAGGAAAAATTCACACCATTAATCCCACTTATTAAGGTTCTTCCAACAATAATCCCAAATATAAGTAATTCCAGTATAATCTAATTTATTTGGGGTATCTTCTCAAAATGATGTGCTAACCTGAATGAAGCAGGTCATCAGGTCTTCCGTCCATGTGTCTTATTCTGATTGGACTTATACATTTTTAATTTTTTTTTGTTTTGATTTATTATCTTTTTATTTCTTTCTCTTCAGAAAATGCAGCTCCCTTGATTCCTCCGCTCGGATCTTCTCATTAGTTCGCCGCTTCTCGCCTATCTCCCCCTTACTTCTTCCGATCTGCCCTACTCCTCTCAAAATATTCATGGATTTCCGGCCTATTAATTTAGTCTGCAATTCTGCACTCTCCTACACCCAGTTGTTCTTTGACGCCGGCCTCCGTCCATATCAGCGCCACCATCCTTCCGGTCATTCCAACTGGCTTAGGGCTTGTTTGCAATCACTTAATTTAAGTGATTGTGGTTTTTTTAAAGAAAAAAACACTTATTTTATCAAACACTAGCAACTTTTACTTTTCTCGGCTTCTATGTAAAATCTACTTTTACTTTTTCTATTACACAAAAAGCACTTATTTCACCAAACACTACCAACTTTTACTACTAATCACTTTTTCTCAAAAAGTGTTTTTATTCAAGCACAATCACTTGCAAACAAAGCCTTAGCTCCATGATTCAATAGGTCAACCATTCATTTTTTTCTCGCCCAATGCTGAACCATGTCAAATTTCAGTTTGAATTGTCCAAATTAACTTTTTCAAATCCGAAATTGAAACAAAGATATACAAATTTGAGCATGGCCGAAACCTTAAATAAAGAAGATGAAGGTGGTGGTGAGAAAGGGATATTCATTTGCCTCAGAGAGAGCAAAAGAAGAGAACTGATCGAAGAGAATAATCCATGGGTAGGACAAACCTGAATCCAGAAACCATGTATGTAGTCCAAGCCATTCGAACAATTATTTTTCCTCTTGAGTGTGATGCCCTCATGCCAGTCGATTGCATCTGGTGGTCTTAATGGGATAAAGAAGAAGAAAGGGGTGGGAAAAAGTGAAAAAGAAAAAGAAAGCAAATGGGGGAGATGACCAGAGGTAAAGGCGTAGGATTTACTTTCCTTCTTTCTTTTTTTTCATTTCTTTTTAATTTCTTTACTTGTTTAGTAAGTAGCAAGTCACCTGAGATCAATATGAGAAGATTATCCTTGAACTTCAGATTATTTTAGAATTACACATATTTGGGATTAATATGAGAAGACGGTTAATAGTTCAGATTATTAGTGTGAATTTTTCCTAATAAAAAAGAACGGTAGGATTAAAGTACGTTGTAGTAGCGGTAGAAAATAAAATTTGGGATCATATTGAAAAGTAAAATAGAAATAAATGATAATATATAAAAATAAGCTCTACGTCACTGCGTGACAGTTAAATAACTTGGTAGTATAATTGTTAGTGAGTGTCATAAAACTTTATACATAGTGAATAGAACAATCATATGTGCTGTCAAAGTTCAAAAAAGTTTCATATATAAAATTTAAAAACTTCTTTATAGATCATATTATTGGTGGTGTTGATAGTACGACCCTCGTCATCGACCCTCGTCATCACATATAAGAATCTTCATCTCACTCCTTGAGATAACCTTTGACATGAAAACATACAATTGTCATTGGCTTTTGTTTATTATCACGTCAAATGTTGATTGAGAATTGCCCGTGTCGATATTTATGCTATCTGAGGGGACCAATGATAGGCGCTGAATAAAAAAAATTACCAATACTTTTTCCGGATTTAACCTTCGCCTGCAAAACACATATATTCCACCAAGTAATAATAGTAACACCAAACCTTTAGTCCCAATTTATGGTTTCGTATCCCTGATGGATAATGGTGTTCATTTACTCTTAAGTATGCACTTCACCAGATCTTGCAACAGTGTTCCCTTCAAGTGAGTATAGGATGTCAAAACTCAAATAAGTCTTCATTTCTCCAGAAATGACGGGTAAGTATGTGCTACAAACAATTGAAGGAATGAGATCACTTAAAGTGGTAATTAGCATATTATCATGACACCATGTATATATGAATGAAGACCTCTCCATCTCTAACATTCTCAATATTTTCATCTTTTATTTTGAGGACCAAATTTGAGAAACTTTTAAATTCATCAAAATAACAATGCATAGAATCACATTGTAGCCTCATATAATTAAATGTTTGGGTGGACAATTAAATTACTCATTGAATATCTTGGAAAGGGCAACTAAATTACTCTTTGAATATCTTGAGCGAGATTAATGCATGTTTGGTAGGCATAAGTCCCTACCTTCCAGTTTTTTTGTACTATTAAATTTTTTTGAAAAGATTCTAGTTGTATGTCTGACATTACAATTTATAAGAGCTTTTTAAAAAATAAAAGATCTTTTGTTGAGATGCTACGTTGAGTAGCATCTGAGAAAAGTCTGTAACTTTTAGTATGAAGAGAAAAGGGTCAAATAAGACCTTATACTATTATGAAATGGTCACATAAGGCAATGTACTCAATAAAGTGTCATATAAATACATCTACTTATAAAAAACAATCGCATAAGTCCTAATGACCCTTTGACAACCTCTTAATCACGACTTTAGGTCACATGTCGTTATTTTTATCTTGTATTTAAGTCAATCATACCTAAATATTCCACGTCAATCATATTGTAACATCCCAAATTTATATACGACATTACAAAAATATCGAAAGTAAGAAATAAATGCAAAGTTTTATTTGAAACGAAAATGAAGTCATGGGATGTAATGATTTAGACAATATGTTTAGTAAAATAACCGAGGAAAAATTTTAAATTGAAAGTTTTAACTATGTCCGAAAACATACGTAATGATTTAATGGCGGGTAGTTGCTATATTTTTCCTCTATAATCCCCTTTAATAAGCTAAGCTACGTGAGGATGTATAGACAAACATGTGATATATATGGATCCTACTTGGCCTAATTTTACTAAACAATACTGAATAATTATAACTTATTTTACTGGCAACTTGTTAGAAATGCATGTTGTGTGTATTTGGACTCATTGACACACGGCCAATTAATTTAGAAGGGACAAACATCCATAATATATGTGACCTAATAATAAAAGGAAGCCTCTAGAGCAACACGCGGCAAAAGCAAATGAGGTATGAATGCACTAATAGACATTTGGACAGACGACAGTCATGCAAAATAAACTCCCTACAAATGTCTAGTGTCATGCATAACCAAACAAATAATAAATAAAAGCTACAGAGGTTCATATGCTACACCATAGGGGCGGTCCTGACAATTTATAGGCCCGGGACAAAAGAAAAAAATAAGCCCCTTATTTTATACGAAGTATATTGTAAGAATGTAATATAAAAATTTCATTGTCAAAAAAAAAATCATTATACAAGTAAAATACTTTACTCGTCAATTAGCTTCCTTTTTTCTTTTTTCGCTGCCAAATAAATATTTCTTTGTATGTATTTTATATAATATTACAAGAAAAATAAGAGATAACCTGAAAATTTTGGTAGGGCTACGGAAAGAAATCTTAAAAAATGTAAGGGCCGGCCAACACTTGCAATATGTAATCCCTGCGTAAAGCAAAACAATTAAAAAACTTTCATCAATTAAGCACAAAGCTCGTAAGTCACGATAGACAGTTCCTAGCAAAAAAGCCAATAGCAATTTGAAATTGTATGGAATAATGGAAAGTGTTTTGCAGAATACACCTATTCCAGAAGTCCAGAAGTCAATTGAATTAAATTCGACCAACAACTTTGAATTCCTGTTAATCCAATACATAGTATATCTTGTACTACGTACAATTCAATGTATCTATTATCGTCTATATGAATCATAACTAAATACGCTTCTAACCAAAACGAAGTAGATTAGATAATTAAAAATAAATAAACCTGTGAAATTAATAAATTTCCGAGTATATAATTAGTAAACTAAAATACCTATTATTCTATTACTCTGCCCGTTGAATCCTTTGAGAGGTTCAACTGTTCAGTCGTCCAGAGAGGAAAAGGTAAAATCCAAAATCCAGTGATTTGAAAATTGAGAATTTGAGGATTAAGATTTGAGAGCAAGTGAACAACCAAGGTGGAAGCGACCAAGAGTGAAGAGATTAACTGAAACTATACCAAGGAAGCGGAATTAATTCCATTTTGGGAATTCGCATGGCTTCTCGGCTTCTGTGTTATGCTGCTCCGCTCAATCTACGGAGTATGAGTAATTAGTGTATAATTAGTAATTTAGTATAACGGGACTTAACGGTAATTTAGTATTAGTACATATTAATATTTAATTTAATATATATATACACTAATACTATACAAATTAGGGGCCCCTCTTCCTGGTGGGCCCTGGGCAGCAGCCCAGGTTGCCCCTATACCAGGATCGGCCCTAGGAATTAATTCCATTTTGGGAATTCGCATGGCTTCTCGGCTTCTGTGTTATGCTGCTCTGCTTCATCTACGGAGTATTAGTAATTAGTGTATAATTAGTAATTTAGTATAACGGGACTTAACGGTAATTTAGTATTAGTACATATTAGTATTTAATTTAATATATATATACACTAATACTATATAAATTAGGGGCCCCTCTTCCTGGTGGGCCCTGGGCAGCAGCCTAGGTTGCCCCTATACCAGGACCGGCCCTATAAGTGCTAATTAATGAGGACATGTCATGTTATATATCAAATCAAAAAACTTATAAGGGCCAATGATGGTTAGGATATTTTAGGGAGAGAAAAAATGTTGGTGTAATGGTACAGCTTCATGAGGTGGTACACTTTGTTATATCATTTGCACTCTTTTAAAGGTTTTTTATTTTTCGGTTTTACTTCCGTCTCAGACTCCCGTCTGTTCCATCTGCCTCCGTTACCTCAGCTGCAATGTCCTCCCACAAAAATCGGATAGCTCTCTGTAGGTAAATATCATCTTCATCATTGTTCTTATTGCAACAAGAAGGACGAACGACAGCCCATCTTCTCCAAGGTTTCTTCGTTGTTCTTTCCGGACTTCATCAATTGGGGGTTTTCGTCGTTCTTCCCAAGGACTACACTTCAGTCGACCGTCATCCTCTTCTTCCCGGTGCATCATCTCTGATTTACAGGTATTTTGCTTCTCACCCTTTCCCAATCAGTATTCGTGTGCAGTTGTGCCCTAAATACACCGCGATCTGTTGTTTTTTGTTGTGATTGAAATTGCTTACTTAAATACAAATTCCAGATATATACATGATAATCATGTAATTGTGACATTATCAAAAAATCATAAATCAAATTCTAAGTTTATAGCTAATTGAAGAGATGTAGAGTGACGTTTGTTTTGGATTTTTTAAGAAAAAAGAAATGTGTTTCGTAATGATAAATAATGCATGTATTAAGCACCTAGAAACACATTTACTATTTTTTTTATGAGAATATGATCTGATAATATTAAAACTTGAAGAGTGAAGGGAAAAAGATGAAATAAAAAATACAGCTTAAGTTCGTTATGAGTTTATCAGCTTAAGAATTTAAGATCGTTTTGATAATGTTAGTTCTAAGGGTGTATCTAAAAGCCTGATTATAAGATTTTTCTAATGTATCTGTCAAAGTCATGCCATTTCAGATTAGGGCTGCTGCATCAAGTTTGAACAATCTTTTTAATGTAGATTAATAAGAATGTACTTTTTCTGCTAGAACATCACATAGCACTCGGAGGAAGAATAGCTGAATTCAATGAATGGCATGACATTCTTTAGGAGCAGCCTGTAAGCATCCCATTCAGGTGAGATACGGGAAGGTTATACAAGATTTTAGTCTGCTCTTCGATCCCTTAAATGCGGTGGGGAATCAAAATTAACACCGACTGACATAGAAGCTAATCCAATTTTAACAAAATAAGGATTAACAAGGTAAATGTCTAAGTATAAAAAGCACTAAAGCAAAACATCGTGCCACGTGATGTTATTGTTTTTAAAAGAATGACTTATCACAGTCTTCCTTTTACTTACATAGAATGGTAATCCATCCAGCAAGGTAGGGAAAAATAATCATTTTATGAAGCTTAACTATATAGTAAGATGGTTAA